ATCGCACTTGACTAAGCTCGAAACTACAAGTAAGCTTCAAGTGAAATTGATACATTACCTTGTGCATCTTCATCGGTTAAAGATACCACCCCTGGATGGAGGAAAAGTACTTCCAGAGAAGATGCCACATCTACGTATGAGACACATAAGGCAAGTGAAAATGATACCACACTTTGGTACTTAGAAGTTTCGTGATTACTCAATGGCTTGGATCTTGCAAGTCCCCAACCGAGGAGCTTCCCTCACTCGGGAACTTAGGGGAGCACTATTTGCACCATACTTGACCAATCCCGAAACTACTGAGCACTGGTCAACGTTATACCATCAAGGACTCAGAAGAGTTTCCCTCCAACCAGGAGGCCAATCACAGCGCGACACGTGTCGACATCAGAAGCCAATCATAGCGTGACACATGTCAACATCAGCAGCCAATCACAACACGACATGTGTCATTGTCAGAATGAAACTAGAAACTCTCTTCTATAAATAGAGATCATTCTCTCACAATATTTCCTAATGTCATTTGTACTAAATCATTCACTAGTACTCACTAAAGGAGAGCTTGAACATATGTACTTGTGTAAACCCTTCACAATTAATGAGAACTCCTTTACTCCATGGACGTAGCCAATCTGGGTGAACCACGTACATCTTGTGTTTGCTTCCCTGTCCCTATCCATTTACTTACTTATCCACACTAGTGACCGGAATAATCTAGCGAAGGTCTCAAACTTAACACTTTCTGTTGTACCAAAGTCCTCGCTGATTTTATGCATCAACACACATCATTTTCAAAGAGAAAATAATCACCCAATGCGTTTGGGATAGAGAGAGGGAAGCTAACCAAATGTGGGATTCCATAGCTAGTTGTATTCGAAAAGTAGCAAAAGGAGTATTAGGATAGTCTAAGGGTTTTCTCCACACCAAAAGGAATCCTGGTGGTGGAAGGAAGAGGTACAAACAAAAGTTAAGGCTAAGAAGTAATGTAAAGCCTTATACAAGGATAGAACCGACAAAAACTGGTGAAAGGTATAAAATAGTGAAGAAGGAGGCGAAGAAAGCTATGACAGATGCGAAGCTAGCGGCTTTTGACGATATGTATAAGAAACTAGATACCAAAGAAGGAGAGTTAGATATCTATAAATTAGCTAGAGTAAGGGAAAAGAAGACAATGGACTTGAATCAAGTGAGGTGCATCACAAATGAGAATGGAAAGGTTCTTGCTACAGAGAACAACGTCAAAGACTGATGAAGATGTTATTTTCATAATTTTTTTCAATGAAGGACATGAAAGGAGTACTTCTCTAGTGAGTAACTCAAAAGAGTGTAGAAACTACTCATTCAACTGCCGAATTAGGAAGGAAGAAGTGGTTGTAGCTTTGAAAAAGATGAAGCATAGAAAAGCAATGGGCCTATATGATATACTGATCGAAGTGTGGAAAGTCTTGGGAGAGACAAGTATAACATGGCTCACAAATCTTTTCAATAACATTTTGAAAGTGAAGAAGATGCCCAATGAGTAGCATAAGAGCACTTTGGTGCCTATATGCAAGAATAAGAGCGACGTACAAAATTACATGAACTATAAGGTATTAAGTTAATGAGTCATACAATGAAGCTTTGGGAGAGAGTAATTGAGCATAGACTAAATGAAGAGACACGGGTCTCGGACAACCAATTTGGGTTCATGTCAGGGCACTCAATCATGGAGGCAATCTATCTCTTATGAAGATCGATGGAAAGATACAAAGACATGAAAAAGGATTGGCATATGGTCTTTATAGATTTGGAAAAAAATGTATGATAGGGTCCCAAGAGACATTCTTTGGAGGATTTTAGAGAAGAAAAGAGTACGAGTAGCATATATCCAAGCTATAAAGGATATGTATGACGGAGCACGAACTGCCATAAGAACTCATGAAGAACAAACCGAAAGCTTCCCCATAACTATAGGATTATATAAAGGCTTATCTTTAAGTCCTTACCTTTTTACATTGGTAATGGATGAGTTAATGTGACATATTCAAGATGATATTCCTTGGTGTATGCTTTTCACAGTGATATAGTGTTGATAGATAAAACTCAGAAAGGAGTAAATGCGAAGCTTAACCTTTGGAGAAAAGTGTTGGAATCTAAAGGTCTTCACCTAAGTCGGTCAAAGATAGAGTATATTGAGTTCAACTTTGTTGATGCACAAAACTGGAGGTCTTGGAGCAACGTAAATCCGACCATGAATTTGCAAGAAATGTAAATAACACAAGATGTATCGTGGTTCACCCCAATGTTTGGGCTACGTCCATACTGATTATAGTATTTCTATGAGATGTTGAAGATGGAGAGAGAGAGCTTCTGAGGGGGAGAGCTCTTCTCAATCTGAGAAGTTTGAGAGGATCAGGAGGCTTAAGAATTGGCCTCTCCCTATTGTGAGGGTATGGAGTCCCTTTTATAGAATAAGGGCTTCTCCCTTTTTACATATTTACCCCTTCACTTATTACATAATTACCTTTGAGTCCCCCGAGTATTTATACGAGATCTAAATACGGAGGCCCTAAGTATGGAATAAACAGTAGTCCCTCAAGACTTCAGTCAAAAGAGTCTTCTGGCTGGAGACTTGAAATTCAGTCCATGTATGGGCCGAAGTAACTAGATGTCATCTTGAACCGATATTTGATATGAGGTGGTGCTCGAAGTGAAGTGATGCTCAACTAGAAGTAGCACATGTTGCGAGGCTACTCGGTTTATAGCTTAAGTTGCCTTGGTTGGCTCGGCTTGTGGCGTTGAAAGTGAGGGAGTCCCTTTTATAGAATAAGGACTTGCTCCTCAATACATAAGTGATGGGCTAGAGTTGATGCTCGTGGCGAGGCGATTGCTCAGTAGGTGACGATGCTCTTTAATGATAGTGAGGGAGTCCCTTTTATAGAATAAGGGCTCGCTCCTCAATACATAAGTGATGGGCTAGAGTTGATGCTTGCGGCAAGGTGGTTGCTCAGCTAGCGGGGATGCTCTCTAATGATGGTAAGGGAGTCTCTTTTATAGAATAAGGGCTCGCTCCTCAATACATAAATAATGGGTGCTCTATAATGAAAGTGAGGGAGTCCCTTTTATAGAATAAGGGCTCACTCCTCAATACATAAATCATGGGCTAAGTCCCCCGAGTATTTTTCATGAGGCCCTGTTGACGCCCAATATATGGTACATAATGTAGTCCCTCAAGTCTTCGGTCAATAGAGTCTGTTGGCTGGAGACTTCAAATTGAATCCATGTATGGGCCGAAGTGGCAGTTGTTCGGAGGCAGTATTTGTATACCCAGCACTAAAGCTTTGTAGGTGAAGCTTTATAGGTGAAGCTTTGCAAGTGAAGCTTTTGAAGATGGAGCTTTTGTAAATGACGCTTTGAAAGTTTGAGCTCTGTAAATGAAGCTTTCGAAGCTGATTGACATGAGTGATGCTCATGAATGTTTATGTTGATTGACATGAGTGATGCGCATGAATGTTGACATGAGTGATGCTCATGAATGTTTATGTATGATTGATATGAGTGATGCTCATGAATGTTTATGTATGATTAACATGAGTAGTGCTTATGTATAATTTTGAAGTACTGGGCGTACTTTTGATCACCTGGTTGGTGATAATAGCAGCAGGCTGCCGAATAATTTTGGAGTACTGGGCGTACTTTTGATCACCTAGTTGGTGGTAATAACGGCAGGCGGCAGGCTGCTGAATAATTTTGGAGTACTGGGTGTACTTTTGATCACCTAGTTAGTGGTTATAGCGGCAGGCTGCCGAATAATTTTGGAGTACTAGGCGTACTTTAGATCACCTAGTTGGTGATAATAGGGTGCCGAATAAATTTGGAGTCATAGGGCCTGACTCTTTTGGGCATATGGGCCTTCGCCCTTCACATAACATTGCAGCCCATTATTTTGGGCTTGCCTTTTTTTTTAAAAATTTTTTTATTTGATTTTTTTTACCCTCTGATTGGGTTATACATATATCTCCAAAAGATACGAAAAATAAATGACATCATTCAAAAATAAGGAAAGCAAATCACATCATTCTGGTGGGGTGTTTATTCCTTGCTTTTGCAATGTGGGTGTGTATTCCTTGCTTTCGCAGTGTCGCCATGTGCTCTCGCAAAGGAAAGCCTCTCTTTTGCTTTCTGCTTTTTCCCGGTTTTTTATGCTTTGCTCGCTTTTGTTTCTGTTTTTCTGCTTTGTTTCCCACTGCTTTTCTTTTTGATTTGCTTTTGCTTTTGCTTCCTTCTTTTCTCTTTTCTGCTGCACCTCTCTTTGTCTCTTTCCACCTCCAGACCTAGTTTTTCTTTTTATCTTCTTCCTTTAATGTTTTTTTTCTTCTGAAATATTCCCTCAACAACATCATTCTACAACCCACGTTTAGCCCATCCTCCAGTGAAAAGCCCACCATTAACGAGATTGAGCTTCACAGGGTCCACCACGAAGAGCACGGTGTCCACGGCCATCAGCGCGAGCAGAGTCAGGTACTGGAGGAGCTCATCCTAGTAGAGGCCAGGATCTTTGCTACTTGGCGGAGGCGGAGCCAGATTCCTCACCAACTTTTCTTACACTGTTTGAGTAAAGAGAGACAAAGATTTGGTCTTGATGCATGCTGAGAGATCTTCATCTGAATGTGGGGCCTCTGTAGACAGAAGGGCCAAGACTAGCTGATGGTTGAAGAATATGGGCATTATGGATGTTGAATACGGACTCAGAACCGATAATCTAAAAAACACTGCAATTGAACTGCAGCATTGAGCTCAAACCAGGCTTCTTCACACATACCTTCATCAAAACTTCCCTTGTATACTCACTGTATTTTTCAACAGAGTCTTCCTCAGAGTGAAAGGGACCCAACAAAGCAGAAACAACAACCTCCTCACCGCTCTCAAATTTCCTCATCAAAACCACATCTTAGGATCGTGGTGAATCCCACTCCACCACAAAATCACCCAACGAAGAGCTTCCTCTTTTTTGAAAGGGATTAGAGGAAAGTTCGCATTGTATCTTGGACTGCAAAGCCCTGAGCAAGTTGCATTGTTTGAGACTTGACAAAACCTACATGTAGAAACGGCTGGGGGGAGAAGCCCAAGCCCACGAGGTCGTTTATACTTTTTCTGGTTGGGATCTGATTGTAAGTGAATGAGCCTGATGTAGAGTTTTTCCGCATCTTTAAGGAGTTTTTTACAAATTGTGAGACTGAGCTAGGGGAGGCGGCGATCATGATTAGTTTGGTGAAAAGGTCGGGTCGGGTGACTGCAGCAGTGGTGCAGACCATGACAGAGGCAGAATGGCCGACGAAGATGCATGACTCGATGTGGAGCTCCTTAAGAATGGCAAGAAGGTCGTAGGTGTAGCCTTCGTGGGTGGGGTAGCGCTCGAAGTCGAAGTATTCTGGGTTGGTGGTTCCGGCACCCATGTTGTCGTACATAATGACGCGGTTGTCGTGGACGAGGTGTTTCCAGACCGACTGATCGGTGCCGAAGCCGTGGGCCAAGACTAGGACTTGTTGACCCGACCCTACGACCCGCACGTTGTGAGCTTCTTCCACTATTCCCATTGCATCTCTCTCTCTTTGTTCTTGTTCTCTCTGTTGCTTGTTGGTTTGGTTTTTGGTTTTGCAGATTCACGGCGGAGGTGAAAAAATGAAAGAGAACCAACACAACTTTTCGTGTCGTTTCCCACTGATGGCGCTAAATGTTGATGCACAAAACCGGAGGTCTTGGAACAACGTAAATTCAACCGTGAATCTGCAAGAAATGTAAATAACACAAGATGTATCGTGGTTCACCCCAATGTTTGGGCTACGTCTACACTGATTATTGAATTTCTCTGAGATGTTGAAAGGGAGAGAGAGAGCTTCTGAGGGGGAGAGCTCTTCTCAATCTGAGAAGTTTGAGGGGATCAAGAGGCTTAAGAATTGGCCTCTCCCCATTGTGAGGGTGAGGAGTCCGTTTTATAGAATAAGGGCTCCTCTCCTTTTTACATATTTGCCCCTTCACTCATTACATAATTACATTTGAGTCCCCCGAGTATTTATACGAGATCTAAATACGGAGGCCCTAAGTATGGTATAAACAAACTTCAATGTGAATAGAGGCTCAAATGAGTTAGGGGTTAGGATTGGAGATTAGGAAGTACTAAAGAGAGGCTACTTTCGCTACATGTGATCTATCTTGGAAAAGAACTGAGATTTGGATGGAGACCTCAACCATAGAATACAAGCTAGATGGATGAAGTAGAAAAGTGCACCGGGTGCATTGTGCTACCATCGTATGCCACTAAAGCTCAAGGGAAATTTTTATAGGATGACAATAAGGTCATCAATGCTTTATGGCACAGAATGTTGGGCAGTGAAGCATCAACATGTAAATAAAATGAGTGTAATGGATATGGGAATGCTTCATTGGATGTATGGGCACACGAGAAAGGATAAGATTAGGAATAAGAATAACCAAGGTAAAGTGCAAGTAGCCAAAATTGAAGGAAATATGAGAGAAATTCAGTTACAATGGTTTGGCCATTTGCAATGAATGCCTATAAATGCTCAGGTTAGAAGATGCGATTGCGAGACAGAGTGAGTTCTATTAATATGTAGTTTAGATGAGAAGGGTGATAGTAATACTTCTTACACAAGTAGTGCCAATCAGTATTGAGTATTACAACTAGATAAAATTAACGAGGAAGGTAATTGTTGTCATGCTCCATCCTGAGATTCGTCTAGGATTGACACGTGACACTAGAATTCAAGGGTGTGAAGAATAAACAATAAACAAATAAATATTTGAAACACAAAATAAAGTATGTTAGTGGGGCTTTTCCCATGAATATATACAACAACATACACATAACCCTCACTAGGTTACCATGTCCATAGGCTCCCATAAATGATAATCCAAAAGAAAATACGAAGAAAGGTATAAGGATAACCTAGTCACTACAAGCACTCTAATCACTGCACTACGACCCAAGACGTACCTCATATCAATCAAATCATGTCACGTACACAAACACCTACACCATGAAGATGGTGCACCGGACAAAGCAAAACTCGGATAAGTTACGAAGCTCGTGTGGGTGACAATAATCATACGTATGTGATAGTAATAAAACAAGTCCATATTTCTTAGTTTATAAACATCATTAATAAAGCCATACTTTATAAAGTCATAATAGCATCTCATTGGAAATCCCAAGGAATCATACAGACATCCATCAACTTTTCTAGATTGAACCACATATGTTCTCATCCTCGCTTTCTCATATACACCTAAAATTAGGGCTAGCGCGACACAAATTGACCAAAGCATACAATTCCTAAGATTCCACGTTCCAATCTAACTCAAAGGAATTGATGATTTTATGAATTTGGTTCTAGACCAACTCAATGGAACTAGGAAGTAGGAGGTGAGATTCCAGACTAGCACACTGGATTCCATAGGATGTAAGATTATGGACCAACTTAATAGAATTGAATAGGAGTGGGGTTATCTAATATATACAGGCTTCCTGACCAACTTAAGGGAACCGAATGTGAAGTGTGATTCCAAACCAACTTAATGGAATGTAATAGAATACGGAGTTCTAGACCAACTCAACAAAACTTAATAGAAAGAGGGATTCCATACAAATTCAATTGGAATTCAAAGGAATATAGGGTTTTAGACCAGGTTAACGGAATCGATTAAAATTCTAGCAATCTAGTTCCAAACCAACTCAATGGAACCGATAAGAATAAGATTCCAAACCAACTCAATAGAACCAGATAAGAATAAGATTCCAAACCAACTCAATGGAATCCACATGATACATCTCCCAACAACATTGGGTTAGTAGACATCTATTAGCCATCTTGTTTCACAATCATTTCAAATATGCATGTCAAATCACATTTCATAAAATAGATCGGTGACTAAATTTAAAAGCAACAACATAATAGAAAACTCATTTTATAAATCTATGCCATATCCACAAAGTATACGAGCATGGGAATTTCAAGGGTAACCATATTACATGTATTAAAGTTACTCACATGGAGTTTGCGCAATAACACCCTAGCACAAGGATCAAAGCAATATGATCACCACATAAAAATAAAGCAAAAGTCCATCTTAGAATTCTAGCGATAAAATATGTAATTCTAGGCTATACACACTAACTACAGTATTCAAGCACGATTCTGGAAGATTCACACGTTGGATTTTCGAATCGTAATTTCCTAAGGTCATCAAATTATTTCAACAATAACATACTACAATTTCATTATAATCTAACAGTTAGATCTTCACCAACTACAAAGGTCATGTGGCAGTCAATTATGAAACCAGGTTCACAAGGTTGAATCTCATCAAACAGACATCAAAATTGAGTTCAGTACATCAAAATTAGCTTAGAATGGCAAAGTCGCATTCCTGGCCACGCTACATAACCAGTAATTGCTAGAATCTCGACCATTACCAAAAAATGAACCATAATATATCAAAACAAAGCTCATGGAAAATACAACACTTTTTATACCTTCGTCAGAGTGTGAATCTGACTGAAGAACGTTGAAATACACCAAGAAGCCTTCAGACCGCTGAAAATGGTGTACCTTGCCATGGACTCGTGAGAGCTTCAACATCCAATCCAAAGCTTTGGTTTTGTAGCTGAGGTCACAATGAGTTAGTTTGTGGTGGTGGTTGACTTTGGGACGAATGAAAAAGGGAGATCGCCGATGTTGGAAATCTAGAAAGTATGAGCATCAATTCGTCTCTTGCAGTGGCCAAATGGAAAAGACTTTAGATGGGTTCTACTCTTATGGGGCGTTTACGTAACGATAATGGAAATAGAAGGAATTGAATTGAGGAGGAGTTGGAATGAGGAAAAGTCAGAATCGATTCCTGTTGAAGCTGTTTACTTAAATGTTCTGGAATAGGAATAGAATTTCATAAAGCTGTTTACTAATTCAGCAGAATCGGAATATAAACCAGTATGATTACTAAAATGCCCTTGTCCCAAATCAAATATTTTATATACTTTAATGGGTTTATAAAAGATAGTCTTGGAAATAAAAAAAGTAAGTAAGGGCATAAAGGGAACAAAACTATCATTCCGATTGCCCAAATAAGCAGGAATTGGATTACCACCTATATCTAGGGAATCCAATTCCACCAATACAAGGAATTGAATTCCAAAATTTGTGTGGACCCCATTGCTTTTTTGATTCCTCCATGTTTAGTAAATACCGAAGTACTCCGTAATCGAAATTCAATTTCACATTCTCATTTCGATTACGGATACGTAAACATGCCAGTGTGGTGGGGAGTCATTTCTAGGTGATGGTGTCGCCTGACGCCACCGTAGTTGGCGGGAAAAGCTATCAAAAACTTCACCCACGAACTGAGTCAGAACGCAGGGAAATAGTTATTTTGGGTCACGCTCGGGGGTCAACTGTACCAACATGGAAAGGTTCCCTTCCCAGATATTTCCTTCGTTTTGCCCCTACCATTGCTCGCTTATATTGCCTTCGTTATAACTCCTTACTAACGGTTTTCTCCCACACGTTTATAGGACCGATGTTTATTAAAAATACTACGAGTTATGTTGAAATATCTACAGATTTTTAATGTCTAGTGACGTAGAGTCAAACTCAAATAACTAGCCAAAAACTCTAAATTTCAAGAAAATAAAATAAAAATAAAGTAAAAAAAGTATGAATTATGTAAATAAAATAATATAATATGGGGACTGGATTTCACAGTTATACTGCACCACTATTATTAGAATAACATAGTGCAAAATGGGTGATTACACTGCACTACTCTACTTAGCAGTAGAATTAGCATAAATAAATATTAGGTCAATAGTCAGGTGTTACACCAAATAAGCAATAAAAAATTTAAGTTGTGGGACCATGATTTTCAAGGCCGGAGTAAAGTGGATAGGAATACAAACACCTTAGAAGTCTGGTTATGGGCTCAACAGCTTCCACAACGGAGAAGCAATGCCACCAATCCTGTTCTGGGGTAGTGGGCGATGTTGGACGACTTCGATGAGATTATCATGCTTGTTCTGTAAGACACAAAAACCTGATCCGGTAGGGAATTAGTCGGGTTTCTTATATTCTTAGAATCTTTACAATCTAAGAATTAGCATGTATACACCTTAAATAATCCAACTCGTAAGAGGATGTAATATCTACTCCTATCTTGTGTAAAACGCCTTTGCCCCGCTCTCAAAACATCTCACAAAAGATCCAAGAAATTTTAGGGATCTTCTAGAAACGAAAGGTTGATAAAAAAAATTAATTCTGAACGTCAATAACATTTATGGAAAACATGAAAAAAAAAGTATAGCGGCTTTAAAGAACCCCAGGATGGTAGCTTCCATCAATAAACCCCTCCCAATTAAGTCTAACATCCTGATGTTCTCTGATCTAGATTTGCAAAATTAGAAGACATACATTTCCCTCGTGATGATGCCTTGTCATCAAGGTACATATTTTCAACGCCATGGTTAGTCCTGTCTTGGTGGACAATGGGTCTGGAGTCAACACCCTCTTCAAAGATGCAGCTAAGA